AACAGCAACAGCAACGACAACAGCAACGACAACGACAACGACAACGACAACAACAACGACAACGACAACGACAACGACAACGACAACAACAACGACAACGACAACGACAACGACAACGACAACAACAACAACCACAACCACAACCACAACCACAACAACAACAAGAAGAACGAGAAGAAAAACAACAACAACCAACAACCAACAACAAACAACCACAACCACAACGACAACAACAACAAGAAAAACAACCAACAACAAACAACCACAACCACAACAACAACCACAACAACAACAACCACAACCACAACCACAACCACAACGACGACGACAACGGCAGCGACCACGACGATGACGATAACGATGACAACGACAACGACGACAACAACAACAATTTTCAATTGAACGCTGCGCGAGCGTGCTCTGCGCTTAGCGGGCGCTACAACAACAACAACAACAACCACAACAACAACCACAACCACAACCACAACGACAACGGCAACGGCAGCGACCACGACGATGACGATAACGATGACAACGACAACGACACCGACACCGACACCAGCACCACCACCCGGCACCACCAACCCCAACCACACCCGTCACCACCGCCACCACCCCCACCACCAAGAAGAAGAATAATAACACAAGTAGTTATCAATACTGAAACCGAAAGAACAAGAACCACAGCAACAACAAGCAGCAACAACAGCCACCACAGCAACAGCAACAGCCACTCCAGCAGCAAAACAACAGCAACCAAATAGCGGAAACCAGTACACTAAGAGTGAACGTAACTGCAACCGTAGTAAACCACTAAGGCACTAGTAAGCTTTTTGCAACAGTCAACAAGTCTAACCATAAGCACAAAACCCAAACAGTGGCCCAACCTAGAGGTATGGCAAAATCTCTATACTTGCAGCCCCTTACAGTATGGATGTACTTCTGCAGTCCCTTAGATTATGGATCCGACCGCAAGAACTCCAACTAAAGCCAGGTCACGGAGGCTGGCTCAGGGGCTAAGGCTGGGAGTTCTTAATTTGTACGGACGCCCCACAAGGGACCCCGAGCTGTCAGGGATGGCCCTGCTTGAGACCTGCAGTGACTGCAGGTAAGGCCTCGATAGAGATGGTCCCGGAGCCATCTTCGTCGAAGCGATCGAAGATTACCTTAGGTTCCGAGCTTGAAGAATGGGGATTTATGGATTTAGAAGGCTTAGGGATTGGGATTTGGGGTGCCGCCTAGGTGGAAGAGTTGATGATTATTGACAGCAGTTCAGCATCGCAACAGAAAAGTGCAGTCTTGCAGGTATCTTCGATCGAACCACACTCCGAAACACATATCAAAACCCTGCAAATCACAACATATGTGTTGGCCAAGGTGCCCTGTACCTCAGATGAACGGTTCCGGACAAAAGTGCGGACTCCTTACGATTTCCGCTCTCCGGGGCCTGGAACATGCGTCGCTGCCGTACTGGCGGATCTTTGCTTAGTTCCGTCTCGTCTTCAACGGGCACAGCATAAGCTCTGCCCTTGCGATAAGCTCTGCACTTTGGTCTGTCGCTGCTGGTCTTCGTGAAACGGCCGACCAGGACAAGGAAAGGACGGGTGGCCCAGCTAGCATGGACCCGTCTTCCCCGTTCTGCAAGTCAAGCGGCCGTTCTTGGCAATACTGTGCATACTTGCCCTCAGATCTGCGAACAAGTCAGTCTGACATCAGAGTGCGATCTTGCCATGCCTTCTGGATGCCCTATGTTTGACCACTACAGCCACCCTTGCTCCAAAAACTTCAGCCACCCTCAGAATGGCGCAGGGCTCGAGCTCGGAGGGACTCCTGCAACAGAGGGGCCATGAAGCTTTCGAAGTCGTCGAAGGCCATGTAGTCGTATTTCGTTGTCTTGTCCTCTGCGGGCATGAGACCATCTAACGCCCAACCCCCCCCCCCCCCCCCTCCCCTTAATTTTTTAAGCATGCGCGAGGAGGACTTAGGGCTCATCTCTCTAATTCTAAGGGGGGCTCTGGCCCGTCGCTGGAACCTTTACTTGACGCATGCAAAAACTGCACAGCAAAGCTTCGGTTTGGGGCCCCTTGGTGCTGCTGTTGCCGCATCTTTTGAGCCCTTGCAGGGTCCCCCGTCGCGGCAGCGACGATCCCCCCGTCGCGGCAGACGTATTTTGGGATGTTGAGGGGTTAGGGGTTTGGGGGTTTAGGGGATTGGGGGTTTTGGGGTTTAGGGGGTTTGGGGTTTAGGGGTTGGCAGCTCCAGGCGAGTACTCTCCAGTTCCCCTGCTGGAAACGTTGAGCCTGTTTAAACTTACACCTGAGCTTATTCAGTCTTCACCCAGGAAACGGTCGGCACCGAGCGTCCATCAGCGCGCGGACCTCCACCCGATCCAGGAAGACGCAACCCAGAAACGTCAGAAGCTCGAAGATGTCCTTACATTGACAGTTCGCAGGCTAAACTCGGACTGGGAGGAGAGATCCAGGCCAAACTTGGAAGGTCCTCTCAGAGCTCAACTGCAATTTTGCTAACGCCACGAAGTCTTAGTCCTGAAATTCTGCGAAGGGCTGTTCTGTTCTGGTGTATCAAAGCGGCATCTTTGTGGACATCGATGCTTCCCGGCATCATGAATCGCCTCGTATGAACACTGCAGAGCGTCTTGAGGTTTCTTCAAACCGGTTGCAGCCGAACAGCGCTTTGGTGCCCACATAACCCCAAACTTTGAAAACCGCACAGAACCCTTCTGCTGAAACCCTCGTAGAACCCTTTGAGCACCTCCAGGGAACTTATTTTAAAACAGTCCCTAACTATTATACTACAACATCCTCCAAAACCCTAGCCTCATTGCCAAGGCGCCTTTCTGTAGACCCTTACCTGTTGCCCAGATCCCTGAAAGGATCCGACAATAAAAACACCGAAAAGGTTCAAGGCTAGTTTTACGGCGACTCGACAGAAAGAGCAAGCTGATACCTTCAGTGAGGGTCCCAGCTGGCGAGCCTTCAACTTCTCGACACGCAGAGCGTGTCAAACAGTCTGCCAGCGGACGCCCGACACCCCAAGCACTTTTCATAGCAAGCCCTACCATCCCGACATGCTTCCCAGCCTCCCCAAGCAAAACACCGAACATACTGACAAGCACTCGCACAGACACACAAGCACACGGGCGGACGGAGACAGAGAGAGGCTGACAGAGAGACAGAAACGGAAAGAGCACCCGGCAGCAAACCGAAAAGCTCACGATCTCACCAAGGGGCCGGAAGCCCGAGTAGAGCCGCGAGACTTCCGACTGGGTGAAGCCCTCCTCAAGGCTCTACATGTGGGCCTTCCTTTGAGGTCCGGGCCTAAAGGCCATGAGAGCATCCTCAGGGCCTATCGGACCCGAAATCGGATGGGTTGAGGGTTTCGACTCTCACACTCGCACGCAGCAGAGGGTTTAGGGTGTAGGGTTTAGGTGTGGCACCAGACACCCGGAGAAACTGGCAGAAGCTGTCGTCGTTCCTGAGGCCACCGAGGCCTTTCAGCCCTAGTTCCTTCCAATGCCCCTTTGCTCTGCTAAAGCTGCTATCTTTTTGAGGAGGGGCTGCAGTGCACATGCCCTCATGTCCGCCTCACTTCGAAGTTCCAGCTCGTGGCGCTGAAACCAGACATCGACGTCCTAAACCGTTTCCCTGAACCCTAGCCTAAACCGTCCGGCCTGTAAGGCCTCAAACCCTTCTCAGGCCTCGGTGGGGTCCTTCTTTAAGTTTTCCATGAGCTGGTCCTGCGGGCAGACGGGCACTTGGATCCCAGAAGTCAGTTAAAGGGCTTTAGGGCTTAGGGTTTAGCCGCCGACTTGGCGTCATCTGCTCTCTGATACGTGTCCCAAACATCCAGAAACCTGCGCTAGAAATCAGCTCCCGAACTACATGCTTGCACTGTCCAAAGACGAGAGTGCATATCACGAACCTCCCATACGACACCTAGCTGTTGCCTTTCTGACCCGGGCTCCAGCTCTTTCGTCAAGGAAGGGCGGCGTGCTGCGAGCTCTGCCTAATTCCCGACCGGTTTCTTCAGGTGTTCGTTGTAGGGCTTGGGCTTTAGGTTTAGGTTACGAACTCCGGAAAAAAAGGCTTCAATGCAACTGGCATGAGCCGAAACATAAACATATCGAGGTCTCTGAGTTTAGGTGTGAGCGCGAGGAGCCCGACTTTTTCGAGATAGGATGGAGTCATGCGTCGGGGATGCAAAGACCCAAACCCGAGGGGTGGGTAATAGGGTCTGGTTTCGGGGATGCTGCGAAACATGGTGATCGCCCAATCTGCGCTGCTTGAGCTGCTATGTTTGTGGTCCTATTGTCAACTTTCCCAATTACTAGTACAGTAAACCTGTACAACAAACCAGACCTATAGTCTCCATTGTAGTTCCTTTTTTTGGTTTAACCATATCTATATTAATATTAAGGATCCCAAAAGGTAACCCCAAAAAGGAACTAAAATGGAGACCATAGGGAAGCCTCATCTCATCATGACCCCCTGGCTTCTTCCTGCAAAAAGCAGGTGACTGTAGCCAAGGACTAGGAATTCGCATCTGGAGATCCCGTTCCAAGGGGCTCCGTGGCACAAACGTCCCAATTCATCATTGCCTGGTCTCATTAGCTACCTCGAACCGGAATGGTCCACTTTGCAACTCCGGGCTGAAATTGCTTTACATCTGACATCTGAGTCTAGTCCGCATGGAGCAGGCAAATCCCATTGTCGCAGGTACCCCAGGTACAGAGACTTGACGTTACGCCAAAGCATCTCCTGCAACCCTTTCTGTAAAGGCACGTCTGCTTTGGGCACGTTGGCCGTAGCTTTGGAGGACATTCGCGAATCCCGGGATTCACCTTAGAAATCGGAGAATAATAGGGAGGGCTTGAAAGAGTGACAACAATACGCAATACTTAAGGATTTAGGAGTTTTTCTGCTGAGACTACATGGGTAGTTCTCTAACTTGGGGTCCCTGTTTAGGCCCATAGTATAGTACGGCACCCTTATCAAAAAAAGGATCCTCTTAAGGGACCCTAATTTAGAGAGCTACCCACAACAAAAGGATCCTAAAAGGGACCCTAATAAAAAAGGACCCTCTTAAGGGACCCTAACTTAGAGAGCTACCCACAACAAAAGGATCCTAAAAGGGACCCTTTTCAAAGGACTCTAAAAGGGACCCAACTTAGAGAGCTACCCACCTTTCAGTCGCCAGCCTTGCGGCTGAGGCTCTACCTAAAGTCTCCATTGTAGTTCCTTTTGTTGGTTTAACCAAATCTAGACTAAGGATCCTAAAAAAGGTAACCCCCAAAAAGGAACTACAATGGAGACTATAGGTAGCCTTCGGAGTCTCTGGACCCAAATTCCAAAAGCATTCTGGGCGGAGGAGTGCCCCGGTTTTCAGCCCACGAAGCGCTTCCAGCGTCCAAGCTAGGCAATTTTTTGTGTAGGGCTCAGTGTTTTTTGAGGTTGTTTTGTAGGGTTCAGGGTGTTTTTTAGGGTTTTTGGGTGCAAACCTTGACCCTCGACCGGACAGCTGTAAATCCAAACATGGACTCTCGCAACTCGGAGTCCAGCTTCCTGTACCGCCGAGTTGGGGCAAAGGGCCCGGCCCGCGTTGGCGAGCGAGGCCAGGGCCCGGTGCGGCCCCTGCCGAAAAGGAAGGCACGGTTCGGCGTGCCAGCCTTCAGCCTTCAGTCCTACAGAACCCAAAACCCTAAACCCCAAAAACTAAACCCCAAAAACTAAACCCTCAAAAACTAAACCCTAAAAACAAAGACCCCAAGAAACTAAACCCTCCAAAGCTAAACCCTAAACCCCAACAACTAAACCCTAAAACCCAAAAGCCTAAACCCTCCCGTCGGCCGACCTTTCCTCGACCCCAAACTCCCAGAAGGTCCCCGCGGCCAGGGCACTCCGAGTTCGCGCGTCGAAGTCCGTGGCCGTGACCGCCTTCCTGGAGCCTTCGCAGAAGCCAGAGAGCCCAATACCCCTTAATTAAGGAATATACCTTAAATTCGCCTCGGCCCCGGCCGAAGCGGTCAGAGGTTCCTATTCGGATTCCCTCTATTCCCCACCTCTTCTCCCCACTGACCCCCACCCCTCAAAGTCACCATCGTGGGGGGGGGGGGGTCC